GCTAGCCTGGGCAAAAAAGTTCAAGATTCCATCTTGATGGATGGCCAGGCATGGTGGTGTGCACGTGTCTTGCCAGTGAGACAGTGTGGTTGCAGGGCATAAAGTTAGACCCTCATCTCAAAATAACTGACAAAAAAGGGCTGGGGGATTGGCTCAAGTAGTACAGCACCTGCCTAACAAGCACAAGGCCCTGAGTTCAAACTCCAGTGCTGCCAAATAAAACAAAAATTCATAAAGAATCTAATCAAGCATGGTGACCCACACCTGTAGTCCTATTTGGTCCTAAGCCCAATAGTGTGTGTGTGTGTGTGTGTGTGTGTGTATGTGTGCGCACACCCCCCTCCCCCCCCCCCCCCACTGTTCCAGAGCATTTCTGCTGTTCCAGAGCATTTCTGTTCAAGGATAGTGCTATACTACCTGAGCCATAGCTCTACTTCTGGCTTTTTGGTGGCTCATTGAAGACAAGAGTCTCACAGACTTAACTGCCTGGGCTGGCCTCAAATTGTGATCCTTAGATCTCAGTGTTAGATCTTGTAGCTAGTTAGAGGCATGACCTACCGGTGCCTGGCTAAGCCCAGGAGTTTTAAGACTAGCTTGGGCAGCATAATGAAAAACCTGTGTATAAATAAGTAAGTGCAAATATATTGTCTAAATTGTCCGATTTCTACCTAAAAGAAGGCATGTAGAGGAGGCCAAAGTTAAAGAAACAGAAATGGAATGATATTGCCAGAGGCCAGAGGAAGGAGAAATGTAGAGTTGTTTAAAATGGGTATAGAGGTTTAATTCTGCAAGATGAAAAAGTTCTAGAGACTGGTTGCACAACAATGAGAATATACTTTACTCAACTGTATACTTAAAGTTGGCTGAGATGGTGGATTTTATGTCATGTGTATTTTACCACAATTAAAACAAAACAAAAACCCCACACATTTCTTTGAGGTGAAAAACAAAAGCAAATGGTTTGAATGTTCTAATTAAAAGGCAGAGATTGTCAGACTGGATAAAATGGCAAGACCAAATTATAGGGTGCTTATAAGAAGCATACTTTAAATGTAGAGACAAAGATAGGTTAAAAAATTAGATGGAAAAAGATATACCGTATTAACACTAATCAAAGAAAGATGAAATGATTGTTATTAGCCAAAGATTTTATAGCAGAGAATATTACTATGTTTAAATAGTGACAGTCAACTCATCGAAATTCTAAAAGTTGCCGGGCGCCGGTGGCTCACGCCTATAATCCTAGCTACTCAGGAGGCTGAGATCTGAGGATCATGGTTCAAAGGCATCCGGGGCAGGAAAGTCCGTGAGACTCTTATCTCCAATAAACCACTTGAAAACTAGAAGTGGCGCTGTGGCTCAAGCGGTAGAGCGCTTGCCTTGAGCTGAAGAGCTGAGGGACAGCTCCCAGAGTTCAAGCCCCACGACCGATAAAAAAAATAAATAAATCTAAAAGTGTATGTGCCTAACTAATAATTGGACTTCAAAATACATGATGCAAAAATTGATAGGACAATATAGCAATCATAATTATAGCTGGGAATTTTAATATTCTCTCGTACTAATTGATATATTAGTGGTAGAAAATAAGGGTATAGGAAAGTTGAGTAACACCATCCATAAAATGGACCTAATTAGCATTCATAGGCTACTCTAGTCAAGCAAGAGCAAAAACCACACTCCTTTCGGACACAGAAAGAACACTTACCAAAATAGGCCCTGCTCTGAGCCATAAAAGAAGTCTCAATAAATTTTAAAAGATTCAAGTCATAAAAAAAATGTTCTGTCACCACAATGGAATTAAATTACAAGCCAATAATAGAAAGATTCTTGGAAAATCCCCAAATATTTAGAAACTAGATAATATACTTCTAAATAACTTACGGGTCAAAGAAAAATACAAAAGGGAAACTTGAATGCATTTTGAGTGGAATGAAAACAAAAATCCAATGCAGGGAAATGTGTGGATGTCACCAAATCAGTGTTGAAAGGTCTCAAGCCGGTAACCTCAGCTTCCACATTAAGGAATTAGAAAAAAAAAAGCAGGGCTGGGAAGGTGGCTCAGTGGTAGAGCGCTTGCCTTGCATGCATGAGGCCCTGGGTTTGATTCCTCAGTACCACATAAGCAAAAAGAAAAAAAAGCCAAAAGTGGCTCTGTGGCTCAAGTGGTAGAGCGCTAGCCTTGAGCTGAAGAGCTGAAGAGCTGAGGGACAGCGCCCAGGCCCAGAGTTCAGGCCCCACGCCCAGACCCCCCCAAAAGAAAAGAAAAGGAACCCTAAGTAAGGTAGGAAAAGCAAAAGAACTACTAAAGATGAGAGCAGACCTTAATGAAAAAGAATGCTGAAAAACAATGGCGACAAATCAATGACAACAATGAAGTCAAAAGCTATCAAATCACTCTCAATGTCATTAGGATTGATAATGTCAATAGCATTGATAAATTCTCAGCCCAAACTTTCTGTCTCCATTATCAAGTCTCCATTTCTGTCATCAACTGAAGCTGAAGTTTTATTGGGCCTGGGCTGAGTACTGGTTGTCCGGCCTTCAACTCTGACTGAGTGAGGGCAGCAAAGCCCCTCCAGGACGGCTTCTCAAAGAGACCAAAGACCCTTACAACACTGCACCGTGTCTGACCTAATTAAAGGCACAAGCAGTCCAGTAGATTTCCACAGTCTTTTTGTAACTATAGATGGTCATGTGACACACTGTGAGCTATAGATACATACTAAAAGTCTTCTGAAAGGAAAGAGTTTTTTCATGAAGTTTTAGCTTTTCACCGGGTACCGGTAGCTTATGCCTGTAATCCTAGCTACTCAGGAGGCTGAGATCTGAGGATCAAGGTTCAAAGCCAACCCCGGGCAGGGAAGTTTGTGAGACTTTTATCTCCAATTAACCACCAGAAAACTGGAAGTGGCACTATGGCTCAAGTGGTAGAGTGCTTGCTTTGAGATGAAGAGCTCAGGGACAGTGCCCAGGCCCAGAGTTCTAGCCCCATGACCGAAAAAAAGACAGAAAAAAAAAAAGAATTTTTAGTTTTTCCTTATCCAGCACTACTCGGGATAGTGGGAGAAGCAAGCAGTGGATGGAACTCTGGCTGCCAAGATAATGAAGTCATTGCAGACATGAGTTTTTGTAGTTGTCTATTTCTAACCAGTTGTTACCTTAGAAGCTGATTTTAAGTAACAGCTGACCAAGAATAGGAATACTTACAGGCATTTGTCCGGCTTCTTTCCTTCCCTTACTTCCTTGTTTCCCTCTTTCTTATATTAAGGGGATTGAACTCAGGGCCTCACACTCTCACTTGGCTTCTTCCCTCCAGGCTGGAACTCTACCACTTGAGCCACAGCTTCACTTCCTGCTTTTTGTCATTAACTGTAGAAAAGAGTCTAAGGACTTTCTTGCCTGGGTTGGCTTTGAAGTGGGATCCTCAGATCTTGGCCTCCTGAGTAGCTAGGATTACAGGCTCCAAACTAGGTTTGAAACAATAAAAATCAAAGATGGGGGGGGGGGTGCGGCGGTCGAAGGCAGCTTTGGGTTTGAAAGCGTTGTGAGCCAAGTAAAACCTACACTGAACGCGGGGCGGCACTGGCCCTGCGCTGGCCAGAGTAGCTGCGGTTGATGTAAATGGGGCCGGGCTGAGAGTCCCATCGCTGGGCCTTTTCAAGGAGAAAATCCATAGCACGGAGTTTGTGGGTGCCTGAGGGCCCTTGGGGGGGGTCTCTCCCAGCGCCCCCCTCTCTCAGGCCAGCCAGGTCCGTGAGAGTTCACATGCAGGCTGCCAGCATGACAAGCGCCAAGGAGTTCACCCTGTCCCTGCTTCCTGCTTCCTCGGACTATTGAAGTCAGAAAATTCCGGCCATTCCTGAGCTGCTAAGGGAGCCCCAGACCCAGTGACCTCCCTTTGTTCCCGCTGGGGGCTGGAGCCCCCCCTCCCCCCTGCAAGCTTAAATGAGCCCAGGCTGCTGGTAGGGAGATGGCACTGGGAAGAATCTAGAAGATGAGGAGGGAGGGAGGCTACAACATCCTTTCTCTCACTGTGAAAAGATGAAAAAGCCCAACAGAAAAACACCTGACGAACTGCAGGGAGGAGAGGAGAAGCTAGACATGAGTGCAGGGAGCCGCGGGGAGGGAAAGGGGGATTTCTTAGTTCTCGGGCACAGAGGGAACGCTTCCTGGTAGAGATAGGAGGTGATGGTTACACAACACTGGAAATTTAATTTACTCAATGCCACTGAATTGTATGCTTATGAATATAGTGCTAAATATTAGTCTATTTCACCACAATAAAAAGAAAGCCTGGAATATTGTTCCCTAAGCCCTTTCTTTTGTATTGCTTTAGAGACCGACTTCAAATAGACTGGTCTTTCCATCTATGGGGCCGGAGCCTTTGTCAGATCATCACACTCGGCCCTTGGCATCATTTTGAGGCTTGTGGATGGCACGAGTGGTTGCGACTGATTTATTTCTACGTTGCTGGAGACCTTCATCTCTACTCAGTCATGTCTACTGAGGAAAACCTTGTCTTTACCCCAGGCAGAGAGAAAAGCAAATGGGCCAGGCGGCCAACTCGCGTGGGTCTAAGCTGAAGAAAGTCTCCCGTGTGAAATCTCAGATTTCGAAAACAAATTGGTCGGTGATTATTTGCCTTACAAAAGAAAAGGCTCCGCTGAACAAAAGACTTCGCTCAAACGGCCCTTTCAGAAGACAGCCCCCTGGCGCATCTAATGATATTATTGGATTAAAAAACAAAATTCATTCGGACCATTCGAGGACACTGGGCTGCAAATGCGTGAACACATTGTCTTGTGTTGGAAGAACAGTCTGGACTTTGACAAATGGGCAAATATTTTATTTTTTTCCACCCCCCGGAGCAACCCAGGGAGGAAGCAAGATGAATCTTCTTGACCAGAAACCCCTGGCATCTTCTTCTGGAAAGGCTTGGGGAGTTTGCGTGATGTATGGAGAGCCGCTAAGCCCGGGGCCTGTGCTGCGTCCGTCTCTGAGAGAGGGGACTGGTGCCAAACTTCAGGTCAACGCTGTGACTTGGCTCCCGTTGTTCCCTGTCACCTGCCTGGATCAAAACGGCGATCAGACGTGAGCTCAGCCCCGTCCTGCGATGGCGACAAAATACGTCTGTGGCCAGAAAGTGGGTTCTCCAGTCATGAAGAGTGACCCTTATTTACGTCTGCGTAGGTTCATTCTGGGGCCCATAAAGGTTTAATTGTCCCTCTAACTAGGTGTGTGTTTTTTTTTAAACCCACAAAGAGCCTGCCAGTTTTTCCCGGAGTTTAAAACCAGCTCACTGTGCTTCTGTAGAAACGGCTCTAAGTGGGGAGCTGGCGGCACAAGGCGGGATTGTCTGGGGGACTTTTTCAAGTCAGTTTTTGTGGCTGCTGTTGACCTGGGGTTGCTGGGGGAGGGGGGGGATGCAGCAGAGGGAGAATCTAAGATTTCTCCTGTGCCTCCACTGCCCCCTGCTGCCCTTCTGGGCGCAGAGGGGACCTGAGCGTCACACGGCTCCCGTCTGGACGTCCCTCCTTTTCTCCCAGGAGAGCCAGACATATTTCAATAAAAATTAATTATGCAAACATGATTATAAAGCTCAATGAGTACTATAAAGAAAATGGGCCCTAGAAGTTTCTCTGAGGAAAGTAGGCCTGGTAAGCCAAATGTACAGGAGAGGAAGCCAGGAAGGTGGGAAAGCTCAGGGCATGAGAGCAGGGAAAAGCATGCTAGATAGAAGGAAGAGCACTGCAAAGGATGGGTGGCACATATTACATGTTGATGAGGGTGCACAATTTGGCTAAAACACAGTTTCCAGAACCTTCTTTGTCCTCTGTGTTGAGCCTTCCTTCCCTGAAGATGTGCTCCCATCTGTCATCCTTTGAGCTCCAAAAGGCCACCCCTAGATTACCTCCACTTGCCTCATTCTCCTCTTAGAAGAAAACACGTTTGTCAGAGGACTAGAGCAAATGGTTTTGATGTGTGGTTCTGAGCGGTAAGGGACGCCATCACGAAGTCAGTCTCAGTTTACACGAGTCCAAGTGGTTCCATTTAAACATTCTCCCTCCCTGTGCGTCCTCTCCTCTGCTGCAGCTGTTTATCTTCCAGGACGCTGCACTCTGCTTACAGTCTTGGCCTGTATTTAACTCCGTCTCTGACTTTTTCCACTCCCTGGCCTATCATTTACGTTGTTCTTCAGGAAATGTAAATATTTATTTACGGTATTAGCTCTATACATTGTAGGATAAACAGTCAGCAATATGAGTTCTTCTTCTGAATTTTCCATAAATGGCTGGCGACCTTAGCCAAGTCATTTAACCTCAATGAGCCAAAGTGGCTCTTTGTAAAAGGAAATTGCTTGTGTGTGTGTGTTGGGGGGGTGGGTTGGGGATGAATTTTTGTTAGCTACCAGATCTGTATCCAGGATTTCTATTAAGATCTGAGTCTACCTCCTGCAGCTGCCTACAACAATCTCTCCTGTGTCTGTCTCCATCTATTCTCTTCAGAATGTCTTTGTGAAGACTGACTTTCTGCAGAATGTCAGTGGACACAGAATAGTATTTAATAAAGGAGACTAGCTCATAGTGTCCAGCATGGATTCTAGTTCCTCTATGATAGTGGATGTTGGAGGCACAAGAAAATTCTAGTTGCAGGCTTGAAATTCCTATAGACTATCTTCAAACTGGGGCATATCCCAACTGGGATATACAGAGGTGGGCCAATGGGTAAGCAAGCCCTTCTTTCTAGAACAATATGCTACTCAAAGATTTGAGGAGGGAACACAGACCTTGGAAGTAAAACAAATGGGTAGAATAGAGCAGAAAAGTCATACATCTCAGCTTTGAGCATGCTTCAGTGGGAGCAGAAATAAGACTTTTGAGGTATGTGCTTTATTTTTATTTATTTATTTAGTCCCAGTCAGGGACCTGAACTTGGTATGTGACACTTTTGCTTACTGGCTGGAGCTCTACCACCGGAGCCATGCCTCCACTCCTGGTATGTGTACGTCAATGGGAGAAAGTGTTGGGTTATCCCCGAGATACTTTAGCTGTTGAATAATAGACATATGTAGATAAATCCAATTATACCACTAGGAGAGTCCTGAGGTAGAAGGAAAATCAAAGAGACCACAGGTGGGGTAAATCCCAGGATCCTACAAAAATCCCCAGATGGAAGCTGGACTTGAACCCAGCTGAATACCCAGGAGATCGCTTACCCTTTCACTGACCTCCCCCTCCCCCCATTCCAGGTGCTTAGCAGCCTATCGTACATTGTATTGCCTTGCTTATAGATAGCTTTCAGTCAGTCAAGTGGATGGTGAGTTAAGGAAAAGCCCACCATCCAAGGTCAAGACCTCGCTTACCTATTTGCTCACCAATGATGTGGATTTGCAATGTAAAAGCACTGTGTAAACCATTAAGTAAAAATCAGTTATTAACTAAGACCCCCGGGAGGCAGAGTATATCTCTTGCTATTTCTTCCTATCTCCTCCCCCACTCTAGCTTTTGCCTGGTTACTTTTCAAGCTATTAATGATTCAGATCATGAAATGCTGAACCTAGTCTGGACCTGGGAAACTGATTTTGTCTTTCCCTGCTATTCCTCCCTTCTCCCCAACCTTTTCTCTTTTAGCTGCAGTATCTACCCACCCACCCACCCAAGTGTTCCTGCAGTCTTACTTAGTTCCTACAAATCCTACTGGAGAATCTGGAGTTAGAAGGCATTTGAAGAGTCTATCAACTGCTATCAGAGTCATCAACTGCTGAAGGGAATAGCAGGCCTTGGTAAGGACAGTTTATAGCAGTGTCATGTAAATGTAATGTGAGATTGGGAAGATCATGGTTCAAAGACAGGCTGGGTAAGAAGTTCATGAAAACCCATCTCAACTAGTAGTTGGGCCTGATGGTACATGCTTATGATCCCAGCTATGGAATTATCCCAATCCAGGCTGTCCAGGGCAAAAAGCAAGAGTCCATCTCAAAAGCCACTGGCCAGTGGCTCATACCTGTAATCCTAGCTACTCAGGGGCTGAGATTTGAGGATTGTGGCTAGAAAGCTAGCCCAGGCAGGAAAGTCTATGAGACTCTGATCTCTGGTGGACCAGCAAAAAGCCTAAAGTGGAGCTGTGACTCAAGTGGTAGGGGGCTAGCCATGAGCAAAAAAGCTAAGGGACATGCTCATATGCATACTGGTTGTTTCCTTGTATAAACAAGATGCGGAGCCATTCTGTCCTGACATTGAAATTGGAGTAACTTAGGTCAAAACTGTTGCTTTATAACATGGAGTAGCCCAGAGCAGGGTTATATATATTAGTTTATACTTTATGGTATTCACCAATAAACTAACTTTTATTAGGCTATTCCCTTTATGTTCTGAGTTGTAGAGAATTTTAAAAATGTTTTCAGCCTCTTTATAACTTCGGACTTCACAATAAGTGGTTCACTCTAACAAGAGTAATGGCTTTTTAAAAAGACAACTCTGTGTGTGTGTGTGTGTGTGTGTGTGTGTGTGTGTGTGTGTGTGTGTGTCTTGGTACTTGGGCTTGAATTCAGGACCTGGGCACTGCCCCTTAGCTTCTTTGCTCAAGGCTGATGTTCTACCACTTGAGCTACAGCTCCATTTCTGGCTTTTTGGTGTTAATTGGGGGCTGATTTTCCGGGCTGGCTTTGAACTGAGATCCTCAGATCTCAGCCTGAGTAGCTAGGATTACAGGTGGAAGCCACCAGTCCCCAGCTTAAAAGCAAACTTTTAAAATTGGATGAGAAAGGGTGGGTCAATGTGTACAGAGCTTCATTTTCCCTCCACAAATTCAGAGTTTTGTGGGTGTGGGGCTCCCTTGGTCCTGACCTCACTCCAGAGGTGACAGAGCAGACTTGGAATCAGGAGGAGTCAAGGAAGTGGCCTCATGCGTGTAACGTCAGCTGTTAGGGAAGTAAGGAAAACAACAATAAAAAAAAAAAAAGAAAGCAAAAAAGCACTGGAAAGGAAAAAAAAAAAAGGAAAAAGCCCTGCAGATGTGGCTCAAGCAGTAGAGCCCTTGTCTAGCACAAGACAGGGGCCTGGGTTCAAAACTCATTACAGGAATAGAAAAAAATGTGTGCGGGGGTGGGGGGGGTGGAGCGACAGAGGAGCAGGAGGCGCAGCCCTCGGGTCCCAGGGCAGGGCCAGCCTCGGGTGCGGAGCCCGGCGGGAAGGGCCGAAGGGCGCCTCAGCTGGGGGGGGGGTGGTTTCCAGGAGGGCGGCCCTCCCCTCCCGCCGGCCTTCTGGGCTTCGCTGTTTCTCTAGCTACCTGCAACAGGCCGCACAGAATCCTTCCCGCCCAGAGGAGTTGCAGGTGAACTTTCTAGAAGCCAATGAACGCGCGGCCCGCTGTAACCGACCTGCCGGGCTTCGAGCTCGCGAGGGAGGCCGGCGGCTAGCACGTGCGGGCTCCGTTGCCCTGGAGACGGCAGCCGGTGGTTTGTTTCCAAACCTCCGGACTGTACCACCGAGCCCCCGGCGAGGGGGGCGGCGGAACGTGCCGCGCCGGCCCGGGGCCCCCGCGGCTGCGCTGGTCGCGGCCGTCCCCTCCCCAGCGCCCCCTCCCGCCGCCCGCCGGATGGTACGGGCCAGAGGGGCCTCGCGGCCGCGGAACGACGCCGGCGAGGGCGGCCAGCGGCGGTGGAGGAGGTGAGCGAGGCGGGGGAAAGCGCAGGCTGCCTCAGTTTCCTCACTGTGGCCAACGCTCACCTCTCTGGCTCCGATCGGCGCCTTGGCCCCTGGTGTGACCCCAGAAAAGCCCTGATGCGCTGTCCACCCTCCCCGCGCCGTCCACGTTCCTGGATCGCCGCCCCCGGGAAGTTGGGGGGCGGAGGGCTTTACCTGACAGCCCCCGCGGGTCCGTTCTCCCCAATCCAGATATCACCAGCAAGATGCCGGACGTGAAAGACAGCGTGCCCCCGAAGAACGCCGGCGTGGCCGAGACCGGCTCGCGGGAGCCTTTGAAAAAGCCAGGGCCGCCCCGGAAGGAGGACAGCGGCCCCCAGGCCCCCGCCCCACGTACGTCCCGCCGAGGCCGGGGCGGGGGGGGGGGGGGACGGGGCGGGCCGCGCGTCCCCGCCCCGCCCCCCCGCTCCCGCGCCTCCCGCCTCCCCATCCCCACGCAGCCCCGGCCCCGCCCCCACGCGCCCCCCCTCCCGTCCCCGCTCTTCTCGAGGGCCCCAGGGACCAGAGGCCTTGCATGGAAGAAGCCGCCTTCGTGTGGAGCTCCGCGCGGTGGCCGATGTGGGGTCTTTGGGGCTCGGGTTGGGGCACAGGCGGGAGGTCCGGCCTCCGGGTGATGCTCTGTCTCCCGGAAAGCCGGCCGGCCTTCAGGGCGTAGTCACCCATCAGGTTGTCCACGAGCCGCAGCCTGAGCCGAGTCGTGGAGTTGGTGTCGTGGCGCCTGTGGCCGCATGGGGTCGCTGCTGGATAAGAAAAGGGCGCCCTGCAGGCCGCCGGCGGCGGCGCCTGCTCAACCCACAGGGCCTGGATGTGGGGTGAACGGTCTAGTCTGGGCGGGGGAGGGTTTGTTAGTAGGGTTTTTTCTTTTTTTGGGTGGGGGGAGGATCGGTTGTGGGGCCTGAGCTCTGGGCCTGGCGCTGTCCCTCAGCTCAAGGCTAGCGCTCTACCACTTGAGCCACAGCACTACTTCTGGCTTTCTCTGCTTATGTGGTGCAGAGGAATGGAACCCAGGGCCTCAGGCATGCAAGGCAAGCGCTCTACCACTGAGCCACCTTCCCAGCCCTGTTAGTAAATTTTTGTTGTTGTTATTGTTAGTTTGCAATACTGGCCTTTGAATTTGGTCTCATTCTTGCTAGGCATGCCAGAACCAATTTATTTGTATATATGTTTGGTTATTTAAATGAATCAGTACATAGGTAAGATAATTCAGTAAACCTACTTTAGAAGATTTTTGAAATGCATTGCATAGTAGGTTGACCAGGTTGTTACTTCATCTTATTTGTTTGTCCTTGGGATCTGGATTTTTAAAAAATCTTACATGTTATATTTTATCTTTACTTTTTGAGTCATCTTCTTTACTGCTGTTACTTCAAGAAATGGAACAGCGGAGGCAAACTATTTGTATTGGTCCCTTCAGTAAGAGGTTGTAGTTCACTCCTCCTTTTAAGATCTCTTTTCCACTCTCATTTAGCATTAAGAATTGGCAGTGGCTGGGTGCCTGTGGCTCACGCCTGTCATCCTAGCTATTTGGGAGGCTGAGATCTGAGGATCACGGTTCAAAGCCAGCCCAAGCAGGAATATCCGTGAGACTCTTATCTTCAATTAACCACCAGAAAACAGAAGTGGAGCTGTGGCTCAAGTGGTAAAGTGCTAGCCTTGAGCTGAAGAGCTGAGGAATAGCGCTCAGGCCCAGAGTTCAAGCCCCATGACTGACAAAAATAAAAACGGAAGTGGTGCTGTGGCTCAAGTGGTAGAGGGCTAGCCTTGAGCACAGAGGCTCAGGGACAGTGCCCATGCCCTGAGTTCAAGCCCCACAACCAAAAAAGTAAAAATAAAAAAATTGGCAGTGAATCTGTAAATGCATTTGATCACATCTTGCCATTTTGGCTGAAACTATTTTTGGAGACTTCAGAAATAAAGAGAACTTCAAACATCCACTTAGAAACAGTTCACTTTTTTTTTTTCCTTTTATTACACAAGCACAAAGATTCAAAGGTTTTTTTTTTAGTTTAAGTGAGGGCCAACCCTTTCAACTTTTTATTTTGAAAATTTTATTTTTGTGTGTGTGTGTGCTGGTCCTGAGACTTGAACTCAGGGCTTGGGCTGTCCTTGACCTTTTGTAAAAGCTCAAGGCTAGCACTCTACCACTTGAGCCACAGCACCACTTCTGGCTTTTTTGAGCAGTTTTTATTGGAGATAAGAGTCTCACTGACTTTCTTGCCTGGGCTGGCTTTGAACCACGATCCTCAGATCTCAGCCTCCTGAGTAGCAAGGACGATAAGTGTGAGCCACTGGCACCTGGTGCAATTTTATTTTATTTTTTATTTTTTGGGTCCGGTCGTGGGGCCTGAACTCTGGGCCTGGGCGCTGTCCTTCAGCCCTACCACTTGAGTCACAGCACCACTTTCGGCTTTTTTCTTTTTGTTTATGTGGTGCTGGGGAATGGAACCCAGGGCCTCATGCATTCAGGGCAAGCGCTCTACCACTGATCCACCTTCCTAGCCCTGCAATTTTATTTTTAAAGGAGTGATTTTTAATGAGTTTCATTTGATTTGATTTTTAAATCAACTTGGTCATCCTCCTCCCATCTGTGCTAGACTACTCTTGAGTTTCCTGTACTGCAGGAGGGCAGAGTTCAGAACACAGATAACTAGTGTGGTCAAGCAAGTCAGACACAAATCTCCTGAGGTTGAGTAAATCTTTGATGAAAACAAATTCAGATGTATTCACCCTAAATTTCTTTATGTACAGAGACAGTCACTGAAGTTTCCAAGACAGACAACAAGGTTGAGACAAATCATGATACATGTGCGGAGGAGAAGACTTTACCTCTGAGCAGGTATTGGCTCTTTTACTCTCTCCATTTCACTCCTCTGGCACAGTACCTAGCAGTAAGGGCTTCTCATCAGACTTGAAACTTTTTTGTGGTGTTGACAATCAAACCCACCATTTTACATGCTAACATGTCTGCCATTGCTGCACCTCAGTTGCATTTTTAACAGTATTTGTATTTGAGAAGTCTGCACAGCTTAAACAGACGAGTAGTAAGTTATAATTATTAGAATCAGAGTTTCAAGAAGCAAATGTTATTTAACCAGTGAATAAATCACAACAGTATTTGTTGGAATACATGTGGTACTCTCAGATCTCAGACTTAGAGGAAGTAGCTTGGTGCTTAAAAACACTCTGGTTTGGTCTAGGAACTGTGGCACAAGCTTCTAATCATAGCTGCTTGGGAGACAAAAATCAGGGCATCAAAGTTCAAGGCCAGCCTGAGCAAAAAGAAGTTTTAGAGACTACATCCCAACCAGTGGCTGGGCATGGTAGGACACGCCTGCCATCCCAGCTACAGGGGAAGCACAATGGCTCCATGCAACGGCACACACCTGTCATCCCCAGCAGCCTACGCTGGCATGGACATAAAGCAAGACCCTATTTTGAAAAAATAAAACAAGAAGGGGTTGAAGGCTTTGAGTACAATGCCCATTGAAATTTCCAGAATATTAGAACATTTCAGATGACAGATTTTCAGAGTAGGAATACTCAACTTTTATTATGACTTAGAAAAGAAATTTACATCTCAAAGGCAAAGACAATTCATTGCTTCCAAGAGAGAGTGTGAAGGATATCTGGTAAAACACAGAGAAGGGTTTCAGGTGAGTGTATGTCAGAGGTGATACAAAATAGCAGAAATTCACTACAGGATTTTAAAAGGACATGTATGAACGTAGGAGAAAATCTAGAAGCTTCTATAAAATAGCTGAATAGCTGAGTGCCAGGAAGTTGAACATTGGTGACCAATTTCATTAGCTAGCTAGGTATTTGGAAATGTCACTTACTTAAGTAGATTACTGCCTTCAGGGGAAAGAGCATTAGCCAGTAGAGCCAACAAAGCATTTGTATCTTCTAGGGTCTAGTATTGTTTTGTTTTTGTTTTTTTTTGCCAGTCTTGGGGCTTCAACTCAAGGCCTGGATTCTGTCCCTGAGCTTCTTATTCTCAAGGCTAGTGCTCTACCATTTGAGCCACAGTGCCACTTCCGGCTTTTTCTGAGTAGTTTATTAGAGATAAGAGTCTCATGGACTTTCCTGCTTGGGCTGGCTTTGAACCACAATCCTCAGATCTCAGCCTCTTGAGTTGCTAGGATGATAGGCATGAGCCACCAAAACCCAGCTTAGTATACAGGCTTTAGAAGTTAGAGATCACTTTTTCCCCCCTTTGAATCTTGGGTCTCTCCAGGGGAGGTTAAAGCCCACAATAGAAACGCCACGGGGTTATGCTAGGCAGTGCGTGACACAGTGCAGCTTGCTGTCACTGTGCCACGACTTCCTGAGGTGGGTGGGGAACCCAGCATCAAGCACAGGCCCATTCCTTTGTCAGCCTGTCCTTCCACAGGTGTCTTGCTCTGCTGTGTGTGTCACTCCAGTAGCCTCCAAATAGTTACTATACCTACCATTAAGTTGGGTTTGGGCTCGGAGGTCTTAGCCAATGATTTTTGTCATAAGTGGCCATTTACTGTGCCTTTTTATTTGACCCAATATATAAGCTGAGGGTTTTTCTTGCCTACGAGTACAAAGAAACGTTTGTCCCTACAGCAGTATCCAATCCGCTTCTTTGAAATCACAGCTTTTGCCAGTGAGCTGCCATTCCCCTAGAAGTTTATGCCCTCTCACAGGACAAAGTAACCTGTGGTGCCTCAAAGAACCAGAGCTTAGGGAGGCAATGCAGAAGAGCAGAGATTCAGATCCGAGAGAACCTGCTTCTGATCTTGGGGCTGCATGAGTAGGCCAAAATCCTCAGAGGGTGAGGGGCCTTGCCACTGCCTTAAGGGATCTCACAGTGGCCAGGAGTCTCCTGGGGCAGGCACTGGGTTGCAGGCTGACATGATAAAGGGACTGGCACTTGTCCAACTGTATCAATTTTCTCTTTTATATCTGGGAGTTTATTTCTAACATGGAAAACAAAAAATTTCTCTATCCCATTTAAAGCTGTTTGAGATGTTTTAATAAAGCAATTTCTTTCAGAATAACTATTTCCATTGCAGCTTAGGAGAGAAGGGTAAAAATTCTTATGCTTTGAATATATGCCAGACTTCTAAACCAAAAGTATGTCTGCAGGTGACACAAGATAATTCAAATTAATTTTTACCTAAGACCAAAGCTCACAAGGGCTGAGCACGACTCAAGTCATAGAGTGCCTGTCTATCAAGTGCGAGGCCCAGTACCTGCCCAAAGCA